CTTTGCACACCATCCATTCAATTTGGAGTGGAAATGATAGAAAGGACTGCTTCAATTTGGTGAGTTTTAATAAATACATCTATCTGGTTAAAAAGCTTAAAAATACATCTATCTAGTGAAAAGCACACTGTGGTGTGCTCCTCTTTCCCCTTGGAAATGAATGACAAGATTCCAAACCAAGTTATTCTGAGGTACTTATCACTTTGTCAAAGTCCATGGCAACTTGCAAAGCTGGGAAAGAGAAACAGAACAGTTTAGTTCAGTTATTTCCAAAATATCATTGTTTAGCTTGGTGGGATTTGGTTTGGTTTTACAGAAAATGTCCGTAAAACTGCAATTTCCTTGAGTTGTGTAATGAAAGCTGACAATGCTAGTGCAGAGCATTGCCACAGAAGAGAGAGGAGAGATAATTAGAGTAGATGCAAGAATGGAGCTGTCTAAAAGAGAATACCAAATAACAGCAGACTAGAATATATTTATATTGCCTAACGCAATACATACGAGCTGCCCTGGGAAGCTGGGTCATACTGCAGTTCTCAGGTACTGAAGCCTTTAGGATCTTGCTTTGTATCTTGGTAACTATTTGTTCTACTTTTCTATTTCTTACCTATTTCATGTCTTTAAAAAAAACAAACAAAAAAATACTTCCCACACTTACTTATAAATGGTTTTATTGTTAGTATAATTTGCAACACATTAAATCATCTTTCCAGTTAGAAGGGCTAAGGGGGAGATGCATAAATTTTGGGTTGGGAGTGAATGGTGTGCAGTTGCTCTGAACAGTGCAGCATCATGTGCAGATCTCTGCTGGCTCATCTGCCTGGTTTGGCTATGCTGTGTGATAGCCTGCAGATATGTTCATTGCTTAAAGAGATGTTAAAATCTGTTCTTGAACAGAAATCTTCTTGTAGACTCCTGTAATACCTTGTTAGATAATACACCTTTGGTGTAGTTAGTTTACTTCTAACCTTATACAGTTTACTTCTAGCCTTTGCTAGAATTTTTGCAGTATCTTAAACTCTTAAGTCAGAAGGTATTTTTAAATTGTTTGAACACCTGTTGATTAAAATTTCAAATTTGCAAGAGAAGTACAATATCTTGTGAAGAATGTGAAGTCAAAGCACACAGCACAGAATTCTGCACAGGATTATGTCTGTGTCATTACTAGGACTGCTTTTGAATAGGCTTTGTATTGGGCTCTATATAAACGCAGGTTGTTTATTAAATAAAATTTGGAAACGGTGTAAGCTGCAAGTTCTGACAGTTCTGAACTTCTGCCTGTCGACTTGGGAATGAAAATACTAAATACTGATCCTAGTGGACATGCAAGATGTTTTTTAAGTCTCAGAAGCTCAGGGTTTTATGGTAAAGTATGTTGACTTCACTTTCTTTTGCCTACCATTGGGAATTTCTTTGAATGTATCAAAAGGGGTCACTGTAGTATAGAAGGCTAAACCTTCAGAGCAGTTTGTCCCTGCAATGAAAGCATAAATGTCTAGAGTGAACAATTAAGATGATTGATGGTACTTGGTAATGAAGGGCTTTGCTTTTCCATGTAAGCAGTGATACTTGAATGGCTCAGCTTTCAGAAACTCAAAAATGTACCAGGGCTCTTGAGTGCAGCAATGAAGAAAAGGCAATTGTTTTTCATTACCCGCACACAGCATACTGTACGTCTGTGATAACTCTCTGGTCTGGAATGTGGAAGCCTATTCTGTATTCTGTTCTCTCCAAAATCCCTTTCCCATCAGGTTCCTCAGGAATGATGAAAGCAGCTTCATAGTTGCTATTGTGCAGTCTTGGGCTTCCTTTGAGTGACTCTGTCAGGCAGGGATGCTGCTCTGCTTTATGGCTTTAGCCATTTTTGTTGTGGCGATAAAATGAAAGTGAATTTTTTTATGATGTATTGTGTAGAAGTTTCTGTGGTGCTAAGAGGAGCTCAAATGTCTGGAGGCTCTATGTAATGTTTTTCTAAGATGTTTGCATTAGAGACCTGAGGAGTGGGTGATTCATAGTTTACTTCTAACATCAGAAAACAATTGCAGAGTTGTGAGATGTATTATTACATTTACTAGATTGAAATCTTCTGTGCTGGGAGTGGAAGTCTGGTTATGTTTTGGTTTGATGACTTGGGCAAATGAACTTCAATTGGCAGATGGATTCCCTTTTGCAGTGCTCTTTGCACTAGTAGAGAAGTTATTTATTTTGCCTTTTAGTTCTGGTGTGCTAAAAGAAGCATTTCTGCAGTAAATTCCTTTAAGAGACACAACCTGTATTTGATACCATCCCATAATGAACTTAACAGCATATACACTGCAGAAGTTCATTTATCTAACCTACTTTGTCGCCATAGAAGCAGAGTTCTCAGGAGAAAAGATTTCACTTCTAAATATAGATTTGCATCAATGATCAAAATACAGATGCATCTATTGGCTTTCTGCCCCAGCACACTCAAGTTAGTAATGGAACTGCTGTAAAATCTGATGGCCTTGATGTGACATCAGGCACTTCTGCACGTGCAGACCACAGAATGTCCCTTCTGATTTTCAAACCACTGAAGAAACAAGAAGTAAATACAGCAGTAATAACCTAATTGAATACACACACTCTGAACTAATGAAAAAATGTTCAGAATGAATGTCACTCAGTTGCTGAATAACAAAGTTTAAAGGCCTTTAAATTTTAAATAAATCCTACAAAAAAAAAAAAAACCAAGTTCCAATCTTTAAAGTGGCTTAAGCTTTTATAGCAATGAGACTAAAGATCTGAATTCTCTTTTTGGAAATGGAGCTTCCAGGAGATCTCCATTGCTAATTCAACCAGAATAAGGTCCCTTCCATGAATCAGCCAATATATGCAGAACTATTTTTGTAACATTCAAAGTGAGCTTGGGTATTCTTTCATTAGATACTATCTGTTCTAATTAGCAGTACATATTTAAATATATATATATATATACATATATTAGTAACAGGTTTAGATCATTTAGTTGCTGAAATTAGACATACTATTCCCATACTCTGGGAAAAATTAAAACCACCTGCCATTTTTTTTGTGGACACTTACTGAAACTTTGTTCAAGAATACATAAAAAATCCTTGATGAACAGGAAAAAATAAATAGTGTCATGTGGAATAAATATAGCGTATAGTACAGATTTTCCTATGTGAAAACAGGTGCTCTATAAAGAAATAAAAGGTGTTCAAAAACGAAATAAAGATCGGGCAAATCAGAGGATAGATTGTATTAGGGGTGGCAGGGTAGAAAGGAACATCATGAAGCTGTGCTGGTCTGCACGAGGCTTCGTAGAAGGGGAAGAGATGGGGCAATGGAAAGGTCACATTCAAAAGTGATAAATCATGTGGCATATGTACTTTCCTTACTACATTTACAGAATTGTCAAAGGGTCTTGGTGAAGCAGTGCAGAAGATTGTTTACATTTTCAAGACCTCTTTTCAGAAACATTAGATGGCATTTTTACATACGCTTGTTAAACATTTGGAAATTATCTGTAAAACTGCTAGGATTTAAAACCAGTTTTTATTTAGAAGGGAGTGATACACCCCCTGCCAAGTCCGTATCTTCATGGTGTCTTGTATCTGCTTCTTAGACATTCATTGCATAAGATGATGAACTTGATTTTTGAGCTCATCCAGGTAGGTATTTATGATTCTTGTACCTGCAGTGGACATTGGTTCAGCAATTTGATATCTTATTTCAAGAAATAAGGGAAGTGTTCAGACCCTGCTTTCTTGTGAGACAGAACTAAGTGAAATGCGTGTTCAGCATTGGCACTATAGTCCAAGGATATTTTCATTTTAGCAATCAGACCTTGAATTTTTGTCACTTCGGGAAAGATATTTGTCACATTTGAGTGTGGTATGACCAGACTGAGATTGAACTGGAGGCAATGATCACAAGGGCTGAGATACATATCAATTCAATCTGCGTGTTTTCCATCCATATTTCTTAACTATACATACCAATACAGAAAACTTGTCTTTTTGGCTTTGTGCCTAGAACTGGATTTCAAAGCCAGACACAGATAATAGGCATGTCTTTTCATAGCCTGGTGCTACTGAAACAAAGAGCAAAGTTAAATCAATTTTTCTTCACTTTTTAAAAATAATTCCATGTAAGACTTTCTCCCTCTCTATTTTCTTAACAATCACTCTTCTATAAAGGTAGCAAGTTGTTCTCTCCTGCAACTGATATTTTATAGTCCAGAAACTTAAATTACTTCACACACATATTCTCATATATGTCCATGTGTATATATGCACAAAACACTCTCCTAATCATTCACTCACTCATTTTTATCCTTTTCCATCTCTCAAATATTATAATTTTGTGGGCTGAATATCTTTCGAGCATTTAAGGAGCAGCAGTAATGTAAAGCATTCAAGAGGCAGTGTTACTCTTTGCACCATCAAGCAGGAAAAATATCCCAGCATAGGCGATATTAGATGAACCATACTTGGTTTTGTATGCGGTATGCATAGCGAAGGAGCAGTGAACTCCCCTGCTGTCACTGCCAATCCTGGCAGTGAGGAAGAAGAAAAATGCTTAAATTTAACAGTTCTGACTTGAAAATGTGCTTGGGAGCTCACCCTAGAGTACCATAGGCATGAGTTTCAGAAATGACAACAAAGTCCACTCAAAAGTAGGAAAGATTTCAGCGAAGATGATTAAAACCCAAAAGCATTAGTTTTTTTACTATGTAGACATACATAGCCTAGATGATTTTGGAGGTTTCCTGTATAAGATGAGAGCATTGCAAAAGAACACCACAAATCTCATATGACTTGATAAATTCTCAACAAAAGGCAGTAAATAAATATTCTTACCCTGTAAGAAAATAAGTAAAAGCTTTAAACTGGTGTGAATTTTTGAGAACTGAGTAATCCTCTAGTAGACAAGGGGGTTCTTCACTTGTGGTTCAGGTGAGATGCCACTTCTGTAAGCAGTCCCTAACCGTGTCTTTTGTCTCCCTCTGGCAGGTTACGTGTTCTGCATGTTGCACCGCCTGCCTGAACAGCACGACTGCACATTCGATCACATGGGCCGCGGGCGCGAGGAGGCCATCATGAAAATGGTGAAACTGGATCGGAAAGTAGGGCGATCTTGCCAACGCATTGGCGAAGGATGTTCCTGAGTGCAAGACTGCAACCAAATGCTGTTCTCTTAGTTCACTAATGTTAGCCTTATTTAGGACAAAGTTAGCCAGACACCTTGTACTAGGCAAGTTTCAGACTACAGCCAATCAGTTTCCTTCCTTTAGCCAGCCATCCTGATACTGTAGTTTAGAGATTGATGGTGGTTGAAATCTATCTCTGGCTGGTTACTAAGGTGCCTGCTAGCCACTGTATAAAAATAAAACATGAAGAAATACTATTTTTGAGTATGGCTAGTGGATTTAAACAAAGCAAGAAAAATCCAAAGGCTTCTGTTATTGCTGGAGTCACTCTAAAAGCCTTATGCTGGAAACATTCCAGCTGCAGAGTTAAAACAAATAGTTGTATAGAAGCTGGTGTAAAAGTTTGCTATGCACATGGCTTTTGGACAAACTGTTTAATGTGCAGCCTTTCACCTCTTCACTGCTACTGAATCCTGAGGAGGTGAAATACTACTCAGAGCAGCAACTGCAGCTGCTTAGGCCCAGAAGACCTGACTGGTCACTTGTGCCTTCATCGCATGTGGCTTTTGAGTTAGGCAGTGTCACCAGCATCAGGGATTCTGTTGGGGTAGGAACACCTTTCCAGTTCTTCCCAGGAAGCCAAAAAGAAAGGGGGACAGAGATTCTTATGAAAAATTTTTATATGTATCTTACTATAAAGAACCTATCAGGGTTTGGGTTTTTTTTCCTTCTTTTTTTTGCTTTCTTCTCTGTTAAATTGTGATCTCTCTTTAAAGCCAACTCCATCCTGGAGCAGTAAACGGTGCATAACTTTTTACATGGCATCCACAGAGATTCTGTGCGGTATGTGAACAGATTCCACATACCTTGAGCAGTGCAGCCATTCCCACTGGCTGAAACCTGATTGGCTCTTGTTTGCCTTTTGCTAAGTGCAGGTATCTGATAATTGATCAAATAAGGCTAATTCACAGCACAGTAGCCATGGCTGGATTCTACAGACTGACTTTCTGTAGCTAGACTTACATATTGGGGGAAAAAGGACATTTTGTAGCAAATGGAATTCAGTAACAGTATTGGGGAACAACCTGTAAAACACCCTTTGTCAGAATGAGCTTGTGTTCCTCAAATTCTGAGTGTCAATGAGATAATCAAAGGGGCTCCACCAGCCCTCCTTCTATGCAGCTGAACGTGCCCAGGAAAATCCCTGCCCACAAAGTGAGTATATCAATTGGATGTGAAATGCATGACCTGGATCTGGTTAGAGCCTTGGTTCTGTGTCACGGTGTGTCACGCTGAGCTGAGCCGAAACGCACCAGCTTTGCCACTTTGGAAACATAAAATCAAACATCATAACTTGGCTGTCTCCTGCTGCATACAGGGCTTATGCAGGCAAAAATTATTAGTGCCGATGTTGTCCAGTTTAATCCTGAACGAGTTTAACTTCTCAGTCAATTCATAAGTTATTAACAAGTGGGTACATTTGTAAGAAAACCTGAGGGAGGGATCGGTTTTGTCTCATCTTCAAATACTGGGCAGATGTGAAACATTGTGGGTGAAGTAACCTGTCACTTGGAAAACCCCAGCTTGTATGAGTCATCCTTCATTCTACTTGTTACAGGTAATTAACTCCTTATAGGCCAAATTATACTGTTACTTTGGTAGCCAGTTAGGAACATTTAACGATTAGACAACTAATTTTAAAAAGAATACATATATATATACACATATATATATATGTCTCTCCGACACACTCAGCATCTGACTGTATTAGCATTAACCATGAAGCAAATCAGAAATGTCCCGTCATTATAAATGCAAGCTGCCTGGAAGACAAGCTGTTTTGTTTTTGGTTTTTTTCTTGTTCTTATTCAAGAATATTAACTAGCAGCAAAAGCTTCTGTAATGGACTGCATTTCAGGAAGTGGTCCTGGTGAGAGGGACAGTCCAATTATATTATTTACATTTGCCATGAGGAGTTTAAAAATACATTAATTTTGGCAGCTGCTGTGATACGCACTTTCTTTTCCTACAAAATCTTATCCTAGCATTTGATGGGCATTCTGATTGATACACAAGACTTTTCTTGCATTAATACTGAAGATGCTATTTTCTTCCTCCTTAATATTCTCTTTAATCTCGTTACAAGTGCACAGATGGTTTCAAGGTGGCTCTTGAGAGGACACTACTTAAAGTTCATGTGTATTATGGACAATGTTCACTTTAAACAAAAAGTTGGGGAGGGGGTTGTTCCTTTGCAGTATCTGTTCTGTGAAGTTTGTTAAACATAAAGAAAGCTTAAGTTCTTGTATCTTAAAAGAAGATCTTATTTAACCCTTTTGTGTTCTAGATTTACTTACACATGTAGCCTAGAGCTCAGTTTTAGTTTAACATTGTGAAAATATTAAAAGAATCTTGTAACTTTATTCTTTTTCCTCATGCTAAAAAAATTAAACCAATCAGATTAAAGTTTGAAATCCTTTCTTCCTATTCCAACAGGTCTTGCTATTTTGCACCATTTCTACTGTAAATTCATGTAAGAAATATGAACGGGGAAAAGACCAAGGTTAGGTCAGGAACTTCAAGCTGAATTTACAATTGGTGAAGAGTGGACAGGACCTTATGCAGGTTTGGAAGGGTAGTATTTCTGCTGGGTTTGAATTGAAGGATTTGTTTTGTAAGCAAATCTACTGTAGCCAGTTTGGTCCATTTAACTTTGAGGTTAGATAGAGTAATCAAAGGAATTAGTTGTGCATACTCTTCAAGTCAAATGCATAGTGTACACTGTATCACTAAAATGTCTTAAATGTTCTTTCACGCACTTTGACAGCTTCACCTAGAATAGCTGTATTCCAGATCAGAATGAGCTATATTCATAATGGATAAACAGAGAAATAATAACTATTGTTTCTTAAACATTTAGATGCTAAAAACATAAGGCTAATTAAAACCCCCACAATTTCCTTATTAGAGGGAGAGAGAATGTATAACTCATTTTTTGTATAATCATTTTTTTAAAAAATTGAAAATCGTTTGGAATTGAAATTGTGCCTGATTCACAGGTCACACCCATTTTTTTTTTCCTCAAATTCTTACGGTACTTTAAATTATAAAACTGCATGATTCTTGAACAAGATGGCTGTGTTCTAGTAAAGGTAAGTTACATAAAACAGCTCTGCCTTTTCATCCAGTTTCAAACCTATGTCTAGGTGTGAGCCAGGGCTTCTAGGAAAAATGAGACTTGCCTGGGAATGTTGCTGTGTACCTTTCTGTTTTGAAGCAGCTCTGGGTCTTGACTGAGTGGCAGCACATCTGTAACATGAAGTACCTGCAAACATGAAGTGCTCTTCAGTAGTGCACAGGAAACACCCTGAAAAGAGTCCTGGTACAATTCCAGCAATCCAGAAGTCTGGATTAGCTGCTTTTATCAACTCAGTGGCAGGTGATAAATACATTCAAAACTTAAATTTTGCCTAACTTTTCTTTTGGACAAATTGCAATCCCCTGGCCTAGTGAATACAATGTCCTCTTTATATCTGGCTTTGTACTCACTGTGGTGTTCAGTTTCTTCTGTGATTACACTACATCTTAGATATAAATCTCTAGGGGATAAGAGCATTTTTTTTTTATCTTACAATGATTATTTCAGTACAAAGACTCACCAGGAAGGAAAACTGATATTAACTGTGTCATAAAAATACAGGTTTTGTAATAGACTCCAAGAAGTATACCAGTGTAATATCTGACAGTACCTGTCCTCACAGTTGAAGTGTAGACAGTTAAGTTCTCTGATGCATTGTAGTAACATTCTCTTTGTTGTATTGTAGTTACTGCTATTGTCCATCACCAGAAGAACAGCCAAGAGACGGTCTAAGCAAAGTAATCTAATGTAACAATGAGCTTGTAGCCACTGCATGCTGGAAATAAATTCATGTTCTCCTGGAAACTTTTATTCCTAGAAAACCAATGGAAACATTTAAGACTGCACTTTTTAAAATTAACTATATTTATTGGTACCACATGTTTATCTTGTTACTCAAATACGTTAGAATTCTGCATAAGGAACAAAAATAATATATCTGGTTCAACACAAAGGCTGTGGTGGCAGGAGCTGCTGTGTAAGGATGTCGTTTTTGTATGACCAATTCATAAGATTATAGTTAGTTAAGGCTGTGTCTGAACATACTTTACTACAAAATGGTCACAGTGAAAGAAGAGTGCATAAGATTAAACTGCTCAAAAATATTTGCAGTGCACATTTTACATGGTGAACTGGCTTTATTTTCACTATCAGGAGCTGTTTTGCAAGAACAAATGTCACTGCTGCTGGAAAGAGCCACTTTTAATGTTCCTGATACACATCAGTGAGAAGGACTCTTCTTCATCTTCATTAATTTTTCCTTTTTGTTGAAGCAGTTAGGATGTGCAGCTGGGCATTTGAAAGTAGTTCTGCTTGAATGTTCCTCTTTTAGGCTTTTCAGTATTCCCCACTGAAAAAAAAGCATCAGTTTCATTGTTCTTGCAAGTCCCTGAACCTTAGTTCAAGCAGATTAAAATACAGGTGTTGGTCTACAGAAGTGATGACTTCCTTGTATTTTACTGCAGTGGCAGCCTCTTTCTTCAGTTAACTGAAACATAATGCAAACACAATTCACCTGTTGAGGACTTTGGGCTCTGGGGTTTTTGAACTTCAGTTCTATGATTCTGTTCACAAACATCTTCCCATAAACTCTGCATGCTTCATCTTCCACTCTGAAGCTGAGTAAAGACAAAAGAAGACATGAAAACAGGAGGCAGAGGATGGCAAAATGACAAATGCTTAGTGATCACATCCACCTTTCTCTTCAAGTCAGATTGGATCATAAAATAGCAAAGAAGCAGGTAATTACTTGCCAAACAGCACTACCTTTTTTCGTTTGGTACTACAGAAAACCATTTTGCATTATCTTTGTGAATATACCTGTGCAGAGTTTGTCTGAGTCAATTCTGCAACAGATGTTATATGCAAAGAAATGAAACAGCACCGTCATAATAGGAAAATATTTTTGATGGATTATTTAGTAATAGCTACATATTTTGCTACTGGACCTTCCTATTTTGCAATATGCTGCTATTTTCTTTGGAAGAAAAACAAGCAGAACTTATAAGACTAACTGTAAATTATTTCAAATTCAATAGGTGCATCTGAAGCATTAGGAAGAGATTACTGAAATTATATATAGATTTTAAAGATTATGATGATGACTGCATCCTCTAACAAAAGGGTTTTGTTCTTCAGATAGTATCAAGTGTTGATGGCAATGGTCTAACCATAAGCAGGTTTTTTCTGCTAGGTTTGTGCAAAGCCAATAACATGCAGTAGGATGCTCTGAGTTAATAACTTGTAGCATGGTGCAGTAACTGTGTAAGTAATGAGAATAAAATTATAGAGACCTACTCCTGTCTGTGGCTCTCCCTTCACATGAAAGGACAGGTAACACCCACTGCTTCCTTGTTGCTTAGTCCCCTTTATTCTTTTCCAAGTTGCAGAAGACACTTTGCTTCCCTCTACCAGCATACACAAGGAGGATGGAAAACCAAATTCTAGCTAACGGTTGTTTAGAAAAAAACAAAAAAAAGTTGACATCTCTGAAGGCAAAGTAGTGAAGTCATCCTCCATATCAGAGGTGCAATTCCAGAAGGAGCTCTCCTTAGGGTTCTTGGAAGAAACACTTGAAATTTTTGGTATGTCCTTATCTTTGTGGATTGTTTAGGATCTCTTTGAATCACAAAGCTAATCCTAATAAAATCTTAAAAAAAATAAACAAAAGCACAGCATTGTATCTTCCTTTGAAAGAGGCCTGCATGATCAGCACTGCTGCTTTAAGTCAGCTCAATGAAAGGCTCATTGCTGACTCCTGAAATACTCGGTCTCATCTCTGTGCTTTTCAAAGGAGCACATAAATGCAAGACTCTTGGAGGAGGTGGGGGGAAGAGTGTGAGCTAAAGCTAAGATAAATTCATTCTTCATTCTAGCAATAACTTGTCTTTTTCCCCCCACCTCTTCCTTCTGCAGTGTTTATACCATATTTGCTTTAGATTCCTGGAAGTTTTAGCTACACCAGTTTCTGGAGAAGTCTTTTAACACGCTGCATTTAGCAGCAGCATGAGGAAGATAATCAGCTCCAGTAGTTTAAAATGAAAATTAACTGTTGTTAATTGTGCACTCTTGTCCACACTAGAGTGTTAAAAGGATGGCTACCTAAAAACGTTTCAGCTCATCCACCTGTATCAGCTTTGCATCAGTTCTTCTTGTTTGGGTAGTCTGTCATGTGCACAGCAGCCAGAGCTATGACCTTTGTCCTGTCTGCAAACAGACTGTGCCCTTCATTACACACACTGACCCTGACATTTCTATAGATAGAAACACTCACCAGAGAAGCAGCAGTTAGAAATTCTACAGATATACACCTATTTTCAAATCACTCTGTATACCCCTTGTTTTCTCCTTTTGACTGTTTCGTCTCAGGTCTTGTCAAAAATAATAGTTCCACATGTATTTCCTGTACATGGACCTGTAGACACTCAAATATTCTGGGACATCAAATGGCTGTAGCAGAATGATGCTGCTGGAATAAGCCAGCTTTCACTTCCTGCACACCCACATGTGTATTATCAGTCCTTGTCTGGCTTGTGTTCTGGGGAGAAGTAGCTTGTCCCCGTATCTCAATTTGCCTGTCTAATAGTAGCTGTAGTTAAATTATTGTCAACTAGTATAGACTTGGTCCTGGAACCACCATCATGTTCATTTACAATTCCAGTAAAAACACTCCCCTTAAACAGGTAGGAGGTTTGAGTGACTACCAGCAGTTCTGATCTTTCTCCATAGTGTGTGTCCTGCTGTCCTGGGGCACAGAACTCTGAGGGAGTGTGCATGTGTACAGGATCAGCAAAATGATGCTGACTGTATTCCAGCTGCCACCTTAACATAAATACTTTGCCCCTGAAGCAGCAAGTGGGAGCAGGTAAATATGTGATATTTGAAACTTACTATCCAATAAATATCTATTTATCAGCCTGTTTCAGCACCCCTGCCGGCCTTCATATCTTGATTTGCTGTGATTTCCATAAGCTTTTCTCGGTCATCCCTTTTGCAAATTCTCCCTCATCCACAACAATGCCCACTCCTACATCAAATTGTCATGTTCAGAGACAACAGGCGAGCTAATCACATATCTAAAGGTGCTGGGGCTTATATTGTCATCTGTAAAGAAAAGTTTTTAAACATTAAATGACTGCTGGTCTTTAGTATATGAAACTCCTAGAGCTGTTTTAATACACTGTAGAAAATAACACTAAGGCTGTGTTCTACTTCCAATTCAACCCTCTTCCTTTGGTCTTAAGTGTGGACTTTCTCCATCCGAGGAAACTTAGGCTAGCTTGATACTGCAGCTACTGGAGATACACAGACAGTGTTTAATAGCACCTCTGCACGTACCAAATACCCATCCAGACCAAGAATAAAAAATTGTCTCTGTTCTGCTTTAGTTCTTTCTTCCTCTTGTTAACCCAATATTGTTATTCTGTGGATAAAATATAAAGCTATCACTCATTTGCCAAGTAATGCTAAACATTTATCCCATCACAGTGATTGGTTTAAGATTTTCAGCATGTGCTTGATAACTGTGCATTTGTTTGGTTTTTTACACCAAGTTTCATGAAGACAGTGCTCAAGTGTTAATTACTGAAACAGGCAGATCTGACTGACATAGAAACTACATGTCAGGCAAACCCAAGTCAAGACTTCTTAACACAAATCAGAAGCAGTTCCTTGCCTTTGCTGTTCTCCATGTGGAGAATAAAGGTGAATCCAACTCTGCTGCCTCAGCTGCATACCCTGTGCCAGTCATCCCCTGGCTCGACAGCTGGAGGGGTGTTCTGTGCTGTGCCTCAGGCCCTGAAAGATCTCAGGAGTCACGGAACCATCATCCACGAGTCCATGGAAGCAGTCAAGCTGTGAACTGTACCTCCTCTTTCTAAACATGTGTTTTCTGCAAAAAAATAAAATTGTTTCTGAAGAGATGTGATATATTAAACAAAACAATGCTGACCTGCAATTGAATCATGCATTCCGTGGTAGCTTTCTCTTAGCAGCCTTTGACTGGTAGCAGTAAGGTGGGTAAGGAACTTCAACTAGCCTATGGAACTTAAATCACTCCACAGGAACTGAAACAAATGTTAGGCCTTATGCAGTCTGCATACATCCAGCATGGCAGAAAGATTAATGCTTTTATTTCACACCAGCCTTGATTCAGTCACTTAACACCAACACAGATCAGTTTCCCTCAGACAACATTCAGCATCTTTCTAGAGTAAAGGCAAGGAGGATCAATCATTTTGAGAGGAGTCTGCAGATAAAACATATCAGAGTTAAATATCTACTATAAGAATTACACAAGTTTAGTGTAAAGTGTACCAAAATAGAATTATAATACTGCAATGCATTTCAAATACAACACTACATTTCTGATTTCTCAGAAACCTCCATGTGAGCTGAGATTAGGGAATTAACAGCAGAAAAAAACCAAAAGGCAATAGGCTTCCTACACTATGTAATTCTTCACAGTAAGACAGTCTGACCCTTGCTGCTCCTACTGCTTATGGATTTCTTGGTGTAATTTTCTGTTTGAGAGAGCTTAACAGTGAACTACAGTTTGTGGATACTGTGTAATTCCATTGCTATATAACTGCTACTCAAAGTGTAAGAGAAGAATGAAAGCATTAAGTCTTAGAATGTCTAGTTTTTATTTATTTTTGGGCACATGGCTAAGGGCTTGATCCCCTAAATATAGGAAAAACAGGCAAATTTAAAGTAGCAAATTTTCTCAAGGAACCTGTGTAAACTTTGTGCACAGATTTCATCAGAATGTTAATTGAGAGCTGCCAGGTAAACAGTCTTCAGTTTAAAAAAAGCCTCAGTGATAAAGTGACTTGCTCACTCCAGGCTGGGGCACATTCTTCATGCCATGCTTCTGGTTCCATGTGAATTATCCATGACTACTGGGGCCCTGTCTGTGCCAGCACAGCCACACAAACATTACAAGCTTTGCACACCAACTCTCACAGTCCACAAAGGCAGCTGAACTTCAAAGGTTTGCAACAGGTAACAGGTTTACACAATGCTACTCTAACCATCTTTTATTTCTCTGCTGGCACATAGGTCTTACAGAGAAGCGTAATAAATGCCTTTGTTTTGTGAGGTGCCAAGCCAACTAATACTTAAAACACTGCACATAACCATTCCCAAAATAAAAAGGATCTTTCCTTCTTGAGAATATGAAACCTGGTCACATTCCTCGAGTTGTGATGGGCCTATGACATTCACAAGGGAGTCTCACACAGGCATTATTTCTTCAGAGATGACAAACTGCAACATTCACCTGCACTCAGTTCAGCAACTAGTTAATGTAATTTGGCAAGGAGAGAGAAGTAATAATGGGTTCTAAAGTATCCACTTATCTGAAATTTATCTGAATCTGGTAGCCAGCTCTGATACTGAGTTACAGTCCACACCAACCCACATAAAAGAGTCAAGCTCCGTTTCTGTGCTTGCCCATACTGACTATGCCAAACCAGGAAAAAGTAATGCCATCTCTGGTGTGATGGTCAAACCAACCTTGTCACTCCAAAGTCATAGGCAGCATCATAGGAGTTCAGATTGGCCAGGCCAGGCTGAGACCTACGCACCAGCCTCTCCGCAGAGAAAAGGGTACAACCCCCTGCTAGTGTGGAGGGAAGTCACTGTGACATTCCTACACTGACTTTGGTAGGCAGGACAGAAGGGCAACCATGTGTAAGACAGTCAGTACAGCGGTTGTGCTGGAGCTCCCAAGGCACCTTTTTTGTGAGCTCCATGCTCTGTCCCTACATCACTTGGCCATGACTTGCCTGTACTCTGCAGACCCTCTCCTTCATCAGTAGAAAGGGCTTAAGAGCTCCTCTGCAATAACATCCACTCACATTCTCTCCTCAGTGAGTTGCAGATCAACACTGGCAAATGCTTGACCAAAAGCCCTCAAAGAGGAAGAAAAAAGAGTAGAACTGTTGCTGTGTTGCTTTGGACTGCTGAAGGCCATTTTGAAACCTTCACTTTCCCCATTCTCCAAATCTTGTTTCAGGTCCTGAAAACCTGTCGAGCAAAGGTCAGTGAAGGGACATACATGTTCTACACAAGCCTACTTCCAACATCCACCAACTCCTGTCCAAAGTTGCTGTGGTGGCTCAGTATTTGATGGTACTGGAAAGTTTGGTGGGGCATGGGTTGCAGAACTTGGGTGGAATGTCCTCCTGACATACAAGGGAAGTTACTATGCTGTTTTTTAAAACTGGCAAGAACCAGCCTCTGTTTAGTGAGCTGACTGTGCCCATTTTATCATTTTGGACACAGAGCTTCCTGC